TAGATCAAAAACTATGTACACAAATTTTTTAAACACTTTTAAATGAAAAGAGCTGTTTTAAAGCACTCTGAGAGACAAATAAACTCCAACACTTGGCAACTGATTAACTTTTTTTTTGTGGAGGCTGACTTGATAGGATGCCCTCAGTGCCCCTCTGTTCCCTTTGAATGCCTGAAAATAACAGAGAAGATATTATCATTAACATTGCTGGGTTATTGGGTGATTTTTAACACCAGCCGGCGTACGCTGTATACCCAATGTGGACCTTGCAACCGCATTTATAGCGCATTACATTACATGTTACTTGTTAGACGCTTTTATCCAAAGCAACTTACATACTCAATACTGTGGGGAATCCCCACAGAGGGATTTTGACAGGGTTGTTGCACAAAAGATCCAAGCGCGCACAGAAGAAATCTGAGAGCAAACATTTCACGAGCGCACAGAAACAGCCTGAGTGCGAGGAGAAGCTTTTAAACTGGAACACAGGAAATCTGTAAGCAGAAATACATATATCTGAGTGCAAGCGTACAGTTTGAGCAGAAGCAGAGCAAATCTAAGCGCAAGCAGGCACTATTTGAGTGTGAGGACAGGGTTTGAGGGAAAGAAATACATATTCTGACCGTGAAATCAATAAAGTATGCTCTCAAATGTAAAGACCACGCTCTTGAATAAAGATAGGGAATAACCCCCATATGTATTTCTATGTGCATCACACTGCAGCAGTCACGTCCGTGCGGCTGATACTTTCTCTCGCTTTCCTTCTCATACTGCCTGTCACTTTCCCTCTAATCTTCCTGTGGTTATTGTTTCTCTGTTTTTCTCCTGGCCGTTTTAAAAACATTTTAGGCTAGTAAAAGTTGAAACACCGCTCTGTGCCGCTGCAGAATGTAGTGGACTCGCGGGAGCGAGTAGAGGACGCGTGAGGCTCAGTCTGCATTTCATCAAACTTTGCATTAACGAAACAATTTCACAACAGAGCTTTACAAACTCACAAAAACACTAAACAAATTATTAAAATTAGTGACTTACTTTTCCGCCGTCAAAACACTGCTTCTTGAAAGACTCTTCTTTGCAGATGAAAAAATCCCTCGATTTGTCCCTGCAGAGGATGTTTTGTTTGGAGATGCAGGTCCAATTTATTCATTTTCAAGCTTTCGTTACTGAGCACCTCTCCACATAAAACACACTGAGGCCGCTCCTCTCCATTTCTAACAGCTTTTGTGAAGCCAACGTTTAAAAACTCCTCTTTGTATCATCTTTTTGCCATCATGTACGATCGGGATTAATCAACAGACAATAAACAGACAGCACGAAAACTTTCGCGAGGGACGCGTCAGAGCTGATACAAATACAATATTTTATTTTTAGTTTATTTGTATTTAGAAAATTAAATCATTCAATATACAATGCTATATTGCATAGTTTCATTTTCAAAAAAAATTATAAAAAAAGAATCTTTGCAACGCAGCCATCAGCTCTGACGCTGCGTGTGTGGAGCAATGCATTTAACTGGCGAGCCAATCGCGACCCTGAGTTTGGGAAAGGCTGGTCCACAGTAATGACTCTTACATGTCTAATATGTGTAATGTGTAATTGTAAAGCGCTTTGAGCACCTGTAAAAGCGCTCTAATAAAAAAATGTAATGCATTATTATTATTATTACTATGCATAGAAAACAAAGAAACGTATTTTAACATCCAAATATGATTTTACAACGATGTTGACCCTGTTTCACTGTAGGGATTGAAGTGCAGGCTCTGTGGTATCCAATGTGGTGGCCAGGGCTGCATGATGTAGTTCATGATTTGTGTTGATTACTTACTAAATGTACCCTTTTTAATGTTTCTGTAAATATGTATTGGTTATCAGAAATCCTTTATATTGTATTAGTCCCACAGCGACTCACAGTCAAGTCAAATGTTCGAAATATTTAAAAGTTACTTAATATAAATTAATTTACATAAATAGGATCACCCTCATAGTACCTTTACCTATATGATGATTTGATGAGCTACACGTAGCATTTTAAAAGCAATCATTCAAACAGTGTAGTGCTCCCACCGACCTTTATCCACATTTTCTCTGGTCTAGCTACATGCATAGAATCCGTCAGCACTTCAGCATTAGGTAGTCGTTCACTACAGAGCCTGTTTATAAGTAATCGTCACTTTACTTGGTCAACTGAGGTCAGCTGTTTCGATAACAGACACTAAGTTTTCCTGTTCTAAAAACAGACATGTGAACTAACCGCAGACAAAACTACATGATGGACTCTTGAGTCGTATATGGCAGATATGGTTATCCCCAGTACTGTTAAATGGCCACCCGTACTCTAAGCACCTAAAGAAATCCACCCTGATATTCAACCTAAGCGCTTCGTGTTTCCTGTTCCAGTCTGTGTGAATACTGCCTGCTCCACCTGCTGCTGAAGAAGAACCCAGAGATGTTCAGCCAGCACTTCATCGAGTGCATCTTCCACTTCAACTCCTACGACAATCACAAGTCCTACAACAAGTTCCCTCAGAGTGAGAGGTGAGGATATCATTTCTGTCATCCCGTTCAAGTTTGGCTTTGTTTCGCTGATTAGTTAGGATTATTACAAATGTGACATGTTAAACTCCGCTTTTTTGTTACAAGTGCACAAATAAACTGAAACTGTGCACTGCAGTATCTATCCTGTTACAATACATTCAAGAATTATTTGTAAGTGAATTGAATACTTTTTCCTCTTCATTCATCGGCTTGTTTTTTAAACATCTGCAGAGAAAGGCTTCGGTTCTCCCTGAAAGGTGCTCGGAACCGCGAGAAGCGTTTTCGCATCTACCGCTTCCTGTTGGAGCACTTCACAGACGCCCAGCGCTTCAACATCACCATAAAGATCAACCAGACCGTCTTAGGTGTGTGTGCTTTAGGATGTGGAAGCACAGCTGGATAGTTCTCGTCCATAGATCACCAACTCCTTTACAGCTTGATGACTCAAATGATCAAATCAATTATTTTGATGAAAGTGGATTTATCATACGTTAAAATCCTGGGGCATCTTTCACAATTTCTTTGTGAATTCTCGAATTTTAACCGATTTAGGCCTGGAGGAAAAAAATGAAATCACTTCATCTTTTACATTTCTTTTCCCAGCATGCTTTGCAGACGATGAGCTGCCTTTGGATGCAGATGGTGCGGACATTTTGTCAGAGACCTTCAGAATCTTGAGTATGAAGGAGATGAAGCTGCAGGCCATATCCCGTCCACCAGGAGGCGTCGCAGCGGAGGTGGTGGAGGAGGAGAACATGGCCACCATGGCTCAGGCCGTCATGCAGGCCGCACAGAAGAAGGTGGTGTCGCAGGTCAGCAGTGTGGGAAAACTAACTTTTTAGTCAGTGACCCGCCTTGCTCAGAGGCTTATCTTGGAAGCTGGTCTTCATAACAGTCAGATCAGATCAAAGTTGAAGCGAACAAGCTGATCCCCACGATACAACAGTATATATATTATTATTTAGAATATAAAACAGTGTGCAGCTCTCAGGCTTTCTGCTTTGATCCACAGGTCCAGAAGAAGGTCTTCATAGAGAACGTGGTTCCTGTCATCATCACCCTAAAGAGGCTGCTGGAGCAGAAACGTTCTCCTGTCCTCAGAGACCTCATGGCCTACCTTCAGGTGAGACCCCACCACACCGTCATTGATTAAATAAGAGGGAATTATTGTTCAGCACGATGACAGGCATCATGAAAAACAAGATCAAATGCTACAAGTTCTATTGTATGAATACTGTATTGTATTACTTTAGATATTTCTAGGTTTGAGTATGGTTTAGATCAGTGGTTCTCAACTGGTCAGGCCTCGGGACCCACTTTTTACTTGGTCAATACATCGCGACTAGGGATACACCGAATATTCGGCCTCCGAAAATTATCGGCCGAA